CGCCACCACCGCCTCATCCTACACATTTGCTTCTTCGACGACGGGGTCAGTCTCTGCCGGTGATGCTTCCAACGCATGCAGCTTCGACTGCACTTCCGCCGCCTCTTCCGCCGCTTCTTCCTCTTCCGCGGCCTCGGCCTCTTCGGCCGCTTCTTCCTCTTCCGCCGCTTCTTCCTCTTCCTACCGTCGATTCTTGGCGAACTACTGTCATGATGAAGAATATCCCATCTCACTTCAAGTAATTTTTAGTTTAATATTACTTTTTCCTTATTTGGAAGTTGATTAAAATATCATTATCGATCTAATTAATTTAATTTTTCTTTTACAGCCGTAAAAAGTTGATTAAATTTCTAGACAAGTACTGCTCACTGGAGAACGAAAAAGCGAGAGATTTAAATGAAGAAAATCCTCATGTCTTCGCTTATGATTTCTTGTATTTGCCTACGAATTTCAAGTAATAATTAATCTTGTGTAATTACTTTTTCTTGTGTTTTTGATTTGCAGTGTAATTAATCTCTTTTATTTTTTGCATTTGCAGAGCAACGACCAACCCAGGCTATGGATTTGTGAATTTCACCGATCACAGAACTCTGCCAAAAATTTTTAAGCATTTTAATGAGAGAGCAATAAAGTATCCAAATTCTGCAAGGAACGTTCGGATGGACATTGCGAATATCCAGGTGCGTGAATGTTAAATGCAAAGAAGAAAATGTTAACTTAGTTTTTTGATTTTTGATTGTGGAATTATTAACAGGGAAGAATTGCTTTAGTGAACCGATACGAGAATACAACATTTGTGAGTAAATCTGAAGAGTGTCTTCCAGTTGTGTTTAATCCTGCAAGAAATGGTTCTGGGGAAGAAACAGTGCAAGTGATTACTGTGGGCAAATTTCAAGCCGTTCCAGATATTCCCATCGATTGATTTTAGTAATTGAATAGCAGTCTGTTGTATTTTTCCTTTACCAAATAAACAAGTTGATCTATAAGACATTTCATTTGTCCTCTGTTTTCGTATCACATGGATAATATGTCTACTACGTCTTTTCACTTTGAATTTTAGCATGAATATAATAATGTGATGATCAAAATTAATATATTTGACAAGTGAGATACTAAAATTTAATGCAAAAATAACATTTTTTTTAAAAAAAAGACAAAAACAATGTTCGAGTGACTTTTTAAGTTAGAAAGAATTTAAGCTTTAACTTTCGACAAATTAGACTCTAGAACATTATCTAACTTTCTACAAATGAGACTTGAGAAATTATTCTCAAGCTGAACTTTTATGGCTTAAACTTAAAAAAATATATGAAGGCTTCCGTTTTCGAACATAAAATATAATTAATTTAAATTATGTGTTCAAATAAAACTTTAATTTCATGACATAATTTTACCTCACATCTTCAAATAGAATGATCGAAGATCGACATTCAAATTAAATTTAAAAAAAATAGATGTTTTTCAATTTACTTGTTCAATTCAAATCTTACTAGATGGAAAAACACTCTAATAATATTTTATTTTATTATTATTGTGATTTAAACTTTAAATCTTACTTCAAAAAATATATACATATCAAATTCTAATTTACTTATGAATTATCATGACAAATAAAACTTTAAATTAAAACTATACTAATAAAAATTTCATTATTGTGATTTGAACCTTTTAACTCTAGGTTTTTTCTAACAAAATAAATGAACTTTAATGAATCAGGACTTATTTACCCCTTATGTCCGAAATGTTATGCAGCACTATTTAATCGTTTGGAACAATGTTTTAAACAAATATAAACTATTTTTAAATTTCTATAACTATTTTTAAATTTCTATTAATATATTTTTTCCGATATACATAATGAAGTGTCCAAATCAATGATAAAGGCTTATAATAAGAAGTAATATACAGTTTAGTGATCAATTAGTTAAGTTAGTTATTGTATAACTATAACAGTATAATTTATTAAACTAGTTAGTTACAAATAAAAAGATTTTGAACTGTTCCTTTTGGTGGTAACTGTTTCTTTCTTCATACTTCTTCCTTCACTATATATTCAATTCAATTCAATTCTCAATTCTCTCTCTTTAATTTTTTTTCATACAGAAGAAACACTTTATGTCAAAATCACTAGCAGCTTTATCAATTGTATACTTCCATGGCTGGTGCTCGTTATAGTTCGTTGAACCCACATGCACCTGAGTATATCCCTATTACCCCTCTGCCACTGCCTCTTCCTACCATCGATCCACCGCCGCCGCAGAATGTTCATCCTATACTAAAAGGGCACGAAACAACTGTCAAGTTGGAGAATATCCCACTTCACTACAAGTAATTTTCAATTTTTTGCTTCTTCATGTTAATTTTTCCGATTCTCTAGTTCCATATCATTAATTTGATTTTTCCTTAACAGCCGTAAAAAGTTGATGGATTTTCTAGACGATTACTGCTTACTGGAGAATCAAAAGGCTAGAGATTCAAATAAAGAAAACCCTCATGTCTTCGCTTTTGACTTCGTGTATTTGCCTATGAATTTCAAGTAATAATTAATCCTGTGTAATTACTTTTTCTTGAGTTTTATTTGCAGTGTACTATTATTAACTTTAATCTTTTATTTTTGCATTTACAGATGGACGGGCATAGAAGGCTATGGATTTGTGAATTTCACCGATCACAAAACTCTGTTAAAGTTTTTTAGGGATTTTAGTGAGAGAGCGAAAACGTATCCAGATTCTGAAATAAGCGTTCAGATGTCCATTGCGGAGATGCAGGTGAGTGAATGTTGTTAAATTTTTTAAAAATTTAATAACAAATGTCTGTAATTTTTGATGTGAAATTATTAACAGGGCAAAAATGCTTTAATGGAACGATTCAAGTCTGAAAGGTTTCTGTTTGAATCAGACGAGTTTCATCCAGTTTCGTTTAATCCTGCAAGAAATGGTTCTAGGGCATCAGTGAAAGTGAATTCTGTGGGGATATTCCAACTTCGAATTAATCCCACTGATTAACCAAGTTTTTTGAGTATCTGTGTTGTACAAGCTAGCTTTGCAGGGGAGAAGTAATTGAATAGAAATCTCTCAGATCTATTGAATGGTATTTTTCGCTTTACCAAATAAACAAGTTTGAGTATAGCCATTAATTAGCAGAAGTTGCTGCTAATCTGATATGCTTTGATTTGGTTCCTCTGCTTGCATTACATATTTTATTATGTCTACTAGTTTTCAGTTTAGATTTTATATGTTTGATTAATTAAATTTGTGATATTAATCTGATTATGATCAAAATTAATATATTTGACACTTGAGATACTAAAGTTAGATGCAAAACTGACAAAATATTTTTAACTAAAACAATGTTGGGTTCACTTTTGAAGTAACTTCAAAGAATTGGAGTTTTCGTATACGGCAAATTATTATAGCTTCAACTTCCGCAAATGAGACTTCAAAACATTACTCTGAGTTGAACTATTACTACTTAAATTTCAGAATATATATGAGGTTTTACTTTTGTGAGCAAAATTTCAATTATCATCATATATGAGTTAATTTAATGACTTGACTACGTTTCACATGGCTAAACAAGCCTTAAAAAAATGAATTTAGTTATGTGAGGAAGACAAAAGTGTGATTGAGATCAACATTCAAATCAAATTTAAAATAAAAGCCAATATTTTTCGATTTATTTGGGTTCAATTTTATTATTGAAATGGAAAAACTCTTTTACTAATTTGTTTTTCAAATAACTATTTTAATTTTCAATTATGATTGTTTTATAATATTAAAAGATATTTACGCTTGTAACTAGAACAATGTTCGAGTGACTTTTTAAGTTCAAATAATCGGAGCTAACGTTCAGCCAATTAGACACTAGAACACTATCTGATTAAGTTTTAAGTCAAAGAGTCAAGACGTATTATTGTAGATTCAATTTTCATGAATGAAACTTTAGAAAATTATTTTGAAGCTGAACTTTAATAAATAACTTTAAAAAGTTATATTTCTTCTGTTTCAAAAAGAATGTTTCTATTTCCTTTTTAGTTTGTTTCAAAAAGAATGAGACTCATTTTCTTTTTTGGCAACACTTTAAATTTAATTTTTTACGTGGCATGTTTAAAATAACAAGATTAAAGGGCATTTTCGTACATTTGACATAATTTTAATTTAGAACCACAAGATTAAAAAGTCTTTTTTTTGTTTAACTCCGTTCGAAGTCAAACTAGGCCCATCCTTTTTGAAACGGATGAAGTATTATTTTTAGAATTATTAAATTAAATCATAATATTATCATAAATTTTGATAAAATAATAATGAGGTTAATGTTACTATCTTTTTAATCAAATCTACAAATAAATTATTCTTTATAATTTTTTAAAAAAAATTAAAGCAAAAGTATAAATATCTAAATAAAAATATTAACCTAATTGTTTTGAATTCGGACTCCCTTTAATTTTAAATTATATTTTTTAATTAATTTTTATTGGCCCACGGGCCGACTCTACAGAGGTATTTATGTAGCCTCAATAATCAGCAGACTTATTCAGACCGGGCTAAAAACTCTCTCTCAAATGAGCTTCAAAAATCGTAACCCAACTCTATTAAATTTCTAATTAGGCCAGTTCGGCTCAACAGGCCTAATCCATATTGACGATTCTACATCGGAGATCAGTTACATTGTGTATAATAAATCAGAATTAGCCTCTATTGAATTAAAAATTGAAATATTTGCTTAAGAATGAGTAACGTCCATTTCATCATAACCATTCCTTTTCAAAATGAATATAATCAGCTAATGCTAAAACATAAGAAGAAATAAAATACCGTTTCGAATTTAAAATTCATACAAATTTATCTTTAATAGTTAATATTTCATATATTTTAGTATAATTATTATGACTAATAATACATTATACAATATTTATAAATATATTAATTTTATTTAGAAAAACAATAAAAATTTACTGTGCAATTTCTAGTGAAATTTAAATCGATTTGATTAAAAAAAAACTAAATAAGTAGTTCTTCCTGTTTTCCATTGAAGTATCCTACTTTTCTCGAAAAATAAATTTCTTTTGGTGCCTTCAAATTTCTCTCTCTCATGTGTTGAACCCGCATGCACCCGAATATATCCCTGTTTCCACTCTGCCACCGCCACTCCCTCCTTCTCCGTGTGTGCTGCTTCCACTGCCTCCATTTCCACCGGCGATGCTTCCACCTCATCCATTTTCTCCGGCGATGATTCTACCCCATCCATTTCCGCCGGCGATGCTTCAACCGCTTCCTCCTACTACTACCGTCGATTTACCGCCACAGGAGAATGTGCGACCACGTCGCAGCGTCGGCATATTCCTCCTAAACTAGGAGGGCTGGTGAAACACGGTGTGATACCTATAAGTTCAACACATGAGAACAAAACTACTGTAATGATAAAAAATATACCATATCACTATAAGTAATTTTTTAAACTTTTTTTGCTTCTTTTATTGTTCATAATAATTTTGAAGTTGATTAAAACAAAATTTAACCGTCTGAATCTCTAGTTCCATATCATCATCAATCTAATTAAATTTCATTTTTCCTTTACAGCCGTGAAATGTTGATGCAATTTCTAGACGAGTACTGCTTCCTGCAGAATCAAAACGCGAGAAATTCAAACGGAGAAATTTTTCATGTCTTCGCTTATGATTTCTTGTATTTGCCCATGGATTATAAGTAAATAATCTGGTTTAATTAATTTTGTTGTGTTTATTTGCAGGCAAACTACAGAAACTACTTCAGTACTATTAGATTATCTTTTATTTTTGAATTTGCAGAAACAATAGGAGCATAGGCTATGCATTTGTGAATTTCACCGATCACATCACAGAACTCTGTGGAATTTTTTTGGGCTTTAATTAACAAACTAAACGTGTTTCCAGGATCTTTAAAGAGTGTTGAGATTGTCACCGCGAAGATCCAGGTATGTGATTGTTAAATTTCAAAAATAAAGGTATAAATTATGTGTGAATCAGAAAGGTTTCTACCAGTTTGGTTTAATCCTTCGAGAGATGGTTACGGGGAATGGGTGCAAATGATTACTGTAGGGGCATTATAAAGTCACTCCAGAAAACCGATCGATCGATTTTAGGGTTTACATATGTGGGGAGATAGTAATCTGAATTCCCTTCTAGGTTGATTATTCAATTTCATTGCACTTGCTAAAACAATAAAAAACAGCAAACAAAAACCTATTTTAATTACATATTCTCTGTATCAAAACTTGGCACCTTCTTGCTTTTCGTGATCCTGTGTCGGATAAAATAATGTTTAGTATAGCCTAGCAGGGATGTTACTCCTCTAGTATATATATTATTGACACATTAAAGAAGTTTATTTGGGCTGTTACTCATTGAATAGAGAAATAATGGAGGTAAACGTATAATTCGTGCCCCAAATGTAGAGGTTAAAAAACACTTTATCATCAAGGACCTAAAATAAGAAATAATGCACACTAGAGATTAGTTTAACTTTGTAAAAATACATGAGAATCAACCTCTACTAGCAGAGTAGAGAGATTTGATTTTTTTATTATTCGTAAATCACCTATGTATTTCACTTGTGTATAATCATAATGCACGATTAGCTTAAAATGTTTTCTCTATCATTTACTAATTCAAATATAATTTTGTTTTTTTTAATAAAAAAAATAGCTTAATTGTAGTTCTACATTCAAAACTACTAGCAAAATTTGTAAATTACTTATCTATCAACTTTCAAATTTAAGAGACAAGTGCGTTATTTTTCACTTTATTTTGGTTCGATCCCAATCTTATTAAAGGGAAAATAATTTTTAATTACAATAAATGTTCTCATTCTTTGTGATTTAGACTTGAATTTTTTTTAAGAGTAAATATTGAAATCCGTCTACTTCATCACGTTCTTTCCTTTTCAAAATGAATAAAATTTGACTTACATAATATCTTCATAAATTAGTCACCAAAATAGATAGCTCTTTTAAATAAATTTATGAAAAACAAAATATATAAACTTACTATAATAAATTTGTTTTTTGCAATTAATATAATTTTTTTACTCTATATAATCTAGACATTGTCTTCCTCTTTTTTATTGCAGTATTATCCTGCCTTTTATGTTAGTAATTGTGACTGCCTCTTTCATTTATCTGTTCAAATCTGTATCACTTTTTCATATATAAAAGAAACAACCAAACAGTTTTTTTTCTTCAAAATTACTTCAATTTTATCAATTGTACCTCCATGGCTCCTGTTCGTAAGAGCTTGTTGAACCCGGATGCATCCGAATATATACCTATTTCCACTCCGCCACCACCTCCTCCTCCTCCTACCGTTGATTCACCACCACGGGAGAATGTGCGATCGCCATCGGTGGAACACCCGTGGTTGAACATTCCTCCTAGATTGATTAATGATTATGTCTCTAGAACAAAATTTTCTCCATCCATTAAGGGAATCAGAGGTGAAGAGTGGTCGAAAAACGATGGCCCGACGAAATACAGATACAGTGTTATACCTATAAGAAGGAGCCATAAGAACGTGACTACTATCGTGATTAAGAATATTCCATATGACTACAAGTAATTTTAATCTATTTAATTGTTCAGATTACTTTTTCTGGGATGGTGATTATAACAAAATTTAATGGTTTGACTCTCTAGTGGCATAAATTTGATGACTAATTCATTTCATTTTTTTGGTACAGCCGTGAAATGTTGATGCGATTTCTGGACGAGCATTGCTTACTGGAGAATCAAAAAGCTAGAGATTCAAATGGAGAAAATACACATGTGTTTGCTTATGATTTCTTGTATTTGCCTATGGATTTCAAGTAAATAATTATTTTTCATGTGTTTATTTGCACTAAAAGTATCGTCACTTCAGTACTATTAGCTTTTCTTTTCTTTTTTAAAATTTTTCATTTGCAGAAGCAAGATGAACAAAGGTTATGCATTTGTGAATTTCACCGATGAGAGAACTGTGTGGAATTTTTTTGAGGCTTATGACAAACTAAATGTGTTGCCGGGATCTACTTGGAGGGTTAGGATTGTTACTGCGAAGATCCAGGTGCGTGAATGTTAAATTTCTAAAAAATAAACCAATTGAATTTGTGATTTTTTATGTGAAAATTCTATTACTACTTAACAGGGAAAAGAGGCTTTGGTGAACCATTTCAAGAATACAAGATTCAGATGTGAATCAGAAGAGTTTCTGCCAGTTCAGTTTAGTCCAGCAAGAGATGGTTCTGGGGAATCGGTACAAATGATTAGTGTTGGTAAATACAAAGTCACTCCATCTTGTTCAGATATTCTCAAGAAACCCTAACTTTAATTTAGGGAGATGGTAGAACAAATTGAGGGGTGGAATAATGGCACCTAAGTTATTTATGACACATCATTTGCCTTTCTATTCTTGCTTGAGTTGAGGATGTTAGAGGCAATAATTTATGCAGTTATTCGAAGACAAAAGTTCGAATTAGCCTGTCAGGTGAATGCAGATAGTGAATGTAGGTTTTCTAGCGTCTTAATTGTTTCTAATTTGTGTTGGTGATTATCGAAAAATGATTGATGTTGAAAGTGAAGTTTTTAAAAGTTATGAATTGAAAATTATGTCAACTCATCGGGGGGAAAGTTTGGATTCAATTTTTACGGTAATAATTATGGGGGAAATTGAAACTAATGGGGAAGTTACGTACTCCTTTCCTATTTACTATCAATTTTTTCTTCGTATTTATTCCTAATTATTTGTTTATTTTGATAAATTAAGAAAAAATAATTTTTTATTATTATATCCTCAATTAATACTTTAAAAAAGATGAAATTTTTTGAAAATATTAAATTTTTAATTTATCTATTTCATAATTAAAATGAGTAAAACGGTAAATTCACTATGTCAATAATTGATTTTTAATAAGTGTGTCAATTTAAAATAGGACAAGTAATTAAGAACTGAAGGAATGCTTAACAAGTTTATTAGAAAGTCGAATTAGTCATTTTTATATAAATTTTTATGTCAATAAAATCGATTGAATAATCTCAATTAAAAATGAAATTGCACGTGTTTATGAATTTAACTAACATGGAAATTAAATTGCACTCCCACCGTTAATAAGTCGTATAGCTAATGAAAATCATTCACATCATTGACATACATCAGAACAAAACTACTTTGTTATTTTTTGAAGTTAAATAACTCTCCCGAAATCATTCACATCGTTGACAAAAACCAGAACAAAACAAGAAGAACAAAATTTGATTCAAATTATTTAATCGATTAGTAAATATATTGGGTAATTTATTTTAGAACACAAAAGAAACATATCAGTGATTTATCATATCATATATCCATCCATGGAAAGAAAATATATTTCAAATGATTTTCATATTACTTTTTACTTTGAAATTTATTATAATTTTAATACTGAAAAACACTATTGGTTATTGTTTGATACTATCAGGATATATAGGCGTAAATAATTTAGGATATAAATCTATTAAAAATTAATAGTTTGTGTTGAGTCCAATTTTGAGTAAATAGTTTCATTAATTGGTCTAATTTATGTAGTTTTTCCAAAGATCAAATGGTTATCAACAAATATTAACGTAATGATATGGATAAATTTCTCAATTTCAAAATTAAAAAATGCATATTCAAACATTTTTTACTTAAATAAATCTCACGTAACATAAAATTTAATTAATATAAAAACATTTTACAGGTTACATAAATTTAAAATAATTTAGAACATGAATTTTGAAATTTCGATGGTTAAACAGCAATAAAATAGTAAATTTTATGAAGAAAATGAACATTTAAGTGGTTCACTTAAAAAAAAAAGAGTAGAAAATGGTTCAACACAAGAAGAATACAAAAAGTGAACAAGAAGAATACAAAAAAGAAAGATTTAGGCATATGAAGGGAGGGTGGGGTGTTGCGAGAATCGAACTCACGACCTCTCGCACCCGAAGCGAGAATCATACCACTAGACCAAACACCCACCTCTTATAGCCATCACCTAATTATATTATTTATTTTTAATATTCACACGGTTCGAACTAAGAAAACAAAGTATTTTAATTTTTACAATAAGAAAACAAATACTTTAATTTTTACAATGAACTCGAACAAAAACATATATATTTCATTCAATTATAAACTCTTAATTAATTAATTAGCTTATAGCAACATCATAAATATGAATTATGATGAGTTACTTTAAATTACATTTTTTTTAAAAAAATAATTCTTATATCATGTAATAAAGTAGGGATAATGCATAAACATGTCATTTAATTTTACCTCATTTTATATTTATGTTCTCCAACTTTGAGTGTACACAAGTAGACATTTAAATTTGTATACAATTGTTTAAAGGGAAGCTTTCACATATAACCACTTAAAAATAACCTAATTACTTTTCGTAGCTATAGTTTGATAATTACAATTCGTAGCTACATGTTATATGGAGGAGAGAGACTGGGAGAGAGAAGAGAGAGATGAGAGACGGGGGAAAAGAGTGGGAGATAGGTGAATTGTATATGTATATTGGTTAGACAATTGTATATTATACATATGTATTAGTATATACGGTAAGAGAGATTGGCACAGAGGAGAGAGGCGAGCGAGACTGGGAGAGAGAGGAAAGATACGAGCGAGATCGAGAGAGGGAGAAGAGAGGCGAGTGAGAGAGGGGCAGAGGGTGAGAGAAAGGTGAATTGTATATGTATATAATTGTATATTGTACATTTGTATACATGGCAAGCGAGATTGGGAGAGAGAGGAGAGAGGCGAGGGAGAGAGGGCAGAGAGTGGGAGAGAGGTGAATTGTATATGTATATAGGATAAAATATTATATATTATACGTATATATTTGTATATCCTGACGAATTATACATATACGAACATAACTAATTATGCAAATTCGAAGTCAGCCTATGTAATTAATGTATAATATTAGCCGCGAGTGGTAATTATCGCAAAATATAGTTACGATAAGTAATTAAATAGTATAAATTTGCTTAGTCGCGTAATTTTCCCTTATTTAAATAGACATACATCCTATATAACAATTTGTGTCCTACATGTGTCATGTGTAAATTGTGTTCTACATGTGTACAATTTAAAACTTATTTGTGCATATTTGAAGTTTAAAATTTGAGAATATAAATATAAAATGAAGAAAATTTGAGAATATAAATATAAAATGAAGAAAAATTAAAAGGAGTATTATGCTATAAACTAATTACATAAATTAGAAAGAGGGAGTTAAATATGAAAAAAGAATTACTAAGGAAAATGATGTCGCTGCATTGAGCAAATGAGTAGTGTAATGTTATCTTCTTCCTCTTCCTCCATGGCTCTCCATCGCCTGCTCCGACCCGCTCCCATCCTTTCTTTCTCCTTCCTTAAGCAATCTCTCTCTCTTCTTCCCCATCAAACGACGTCACTTCATCCCATCATCAACAATTCTCTTTCCTCCTTCCCCTCTCTTCGGACCCATACATCAATCTTCCTTCGTTCTAGAACTTTCTCTAACCTTCCAATTAGCTGTACCTCTCAATCTCTCTTGGAATCTTCTGAGGATGTGGAAGATGAGGAAATTGTAAAACAAAATGAAGAAGTGACTGCCCCCAGGCCTAGTGAGTCTGAGAGAAAAATATTAAGGGCGAAATTGCCGAACCTGACTGTGAAAGAGAAGAAAGAATTGGCATCCTATGCACATAGTTTAGGGAAGAAGCTAAAGAGCCAACAGGTTGGCAAATCTGGTGTTACTGATACTGTGGTCATGGCTTTAGAGGAGACTCTTGAAGCTAATGAGCTTCTCAAGGTACATTGTCTCAAATTTTTGTTGTTGGCATACAATTTGCTCAAACAACTGGCCAACTATTTAGGGTTTAGGGTTTATATTGAATTGTTAGGTTGGAAAGTCTATCTTCAAATCCGTGCGAATTTTTTTTTCTGTTGTTGCCAAATTGGCCTTCAAATTTTTAGCCAACATTTGGTTTTTGTATTAGATTTGGGCTTCAAACTTTTAGCCAACATTTGGTTTTTGTATTAGATTTTGAAAATTTATCTTCAAATATATCTTTGGCCATGATATTTGAATATTTTTTCAAGTTTCCAAAATATTGGCTCGCACCAGTTTTGGTATTCTTTGGACTTCCATAAATAAAACTTCAACTTCTTTTTCCAAGTAAAACGCCGGTACAAACGCAACTTCAGAAGCTCAATTTTTTATATTTCAATTTCAAAATCTATGGTCGAAGGGGGCTAATTGTGCTGAACAGTGACTTTTTAACAAGTGTAGATGATTTTTATGTTTGATAAGTAACAAGTAGAGATGATATACTAGTAAAATGGTAAAAAAGTTGGTGATTAATTTTGCTGTGAATCTTACTTAGGCATATTGTTCGAACGGTGGAACTGTTTATGCTGGCCTGCCATTTTAGTTTGTTGATATTGTACATTGTAACAAGTATGTAATTAGATTAGTGATATTGATCTTGCTAAATGGTTTCCTGTGTTATAGTTCCTTCCTCTGTTGCTTAAAGTTTTTTTTAGCTGAAATCATGAAAGCATGGAACTCAAATTCGCGCAAACATATTACGAATAGTTATAACTTTAATGAGATAGCATTTATTGAATGTTTATAAGTTATTGAGGTTAATAATTCTGGTTACTAGCAACAGAAGAGGGAAAATTGTGTTGCTAGTTATGCTTGTGACGTTAAATTAGTGATTGGTTAAATCTGTTTAACGATAGTTGTATTAGCACTTAGGAGTGTGAGAAATATTGATCAATATGTCAAGGCTAAGCAGGTTTAGCAAGAACTCATTTTTATCAGGTATGTGCCTTGTGCTGGTAAAAGTGCCAAATGTTCAAATTGATTATAATAAGTTGATCTGCTGATGAATCCTCCTTTCATGGTGGGACATGAATAGAGCTTAATTTACTTCAACTAAGGTGAAATCACGGTTTCAGCTCTGTTGATGAAAAGTCACGATTATTTCTTGGCGATGTGTTTAAGTTTTGGTTAATGTGATAAAAAGCATTGGTCTTGTGTTTGTTTTTTATGCCTTCATTGTTATATGCAGCTCAAAATACATGGTACCTGTCCCGGAGGAGAGCTGGATGATGTTGTAAAGCATTTGGAAGAAGCAACTGGCTCCGTGGTTGTTGGTCAAATTGGTAGGACTGTGATTCTCTACCGTCCAAGCCTGACAAAAATGAAAGCTGAAGAGAAGAAGAAACAGGCTCAAATTCTTTTTTTGAAAAAACAAAAACAATATGCAGAGAGACGATCATTTCAGGTCATCTAGGTTCTTTTATAACACTGGTTTCCTACTAAGCTTTTGTGCAACTCTCACTATTTTACTTGGTTCCGCTTATACGCCGGGTACATGCTACTTCCACCTATGGACATGTACGAAGTTATTTGCCTAAGAAGGCTTTGGATGAATGAGCACCTTTTGTCCATATTAGAATTTTGAATTGGTTTCCTACTGCTTTTATCAAGTTCAATGACCTCTATGCAACACTCTTGAGTGCAAATAAATACACATTGTTCTCCTTCTCCCTTTTTTCTCCTTTGTTTCTTTCATGATCGTCCTTGCTCATTTTGGGATCTCCTTATGTGCAGGATAAAGGACCGGTACCTAGATCATATGCTCGTAATCGCCGAGGAAGTAGCAGGGTTTGATCTTTCATTGTGGTTCATTTCTTAATTTCCTTTACACGGTAGCCACCATCACAATGCCCCCATGGCTCATTGTAAGGGAATAGTGGACATTATCATGGGTTCTTGATGTCTTAAATATTTACAGTATCGTAATCATAGTTCTGACTAATTTGTGGTCATTGCACTGGGCAAACCCCATCATTCTATTTATGTTTGTTAAGTTGATGTAACTTTAGACGAATCACACGCTTCAAAGTAATTATATGTCAAATACTGCACAGCATATTAATAAGCAGATTGGTAACTCAGGACTTGGATGTACAAACCATAATAATGCTTTCAGGAATGTTACAATACCTAAAAAGTATTACAATAGGGCTACGAATATAAATTAAGTAAATAATAATTTGTTCTCAACTCATTTGATTTATGATACATGGTGGATTAAATAACTTGATATTGACAAGTAACAACAACATTTGAATTTTGATGATTAATCACTGCAGCCCCTGATGTTTATTGGATCATCAACGAAAAACTTCTTTTCTATGTGGACACTTTTGTCTGGGGCATATTAAACCCCTACGTAGCTTTCAGCTTTTGTAACTCATCATGAACTGAGCCTTCCAAATAAAGTATGCCATCCGCCAAAGTGAGTCGCCGTAGAGCTACCAAAAACCGAGTCTGGAAAGAAAAGCAAAGTTAAAATGGAAAACAACATGAGCCAGTCTTAGCAAACAAAGAGTAGAAAGGCTGAAATGAATTTACCCATTGGAATGCTACTAGAGCAAACCAGCACCCCGATAAACCAAATCCTTTACTGCTGAAGAGCTGTTTGAGATCAAAATAATTAGTGAGTAATATTCTTTTTATCAAAAAAAGATTTGAGAAATATAGCTGCGTGAGCAAGGATAAAAAAAAGATTTAGTTTGCAAACTAAATTATTGGAATAAATGGAATGACTTACCATGACGAGAAGTGAAGCGAAACCAAATATGGTGGTCATTGATATACTGATAAATTTTAAGTCTCTTCCAGCCTAAAAAGTAATCAGATAATCAATGACTTGAGATATGGCTTCAAAAACCATAACTAGAATAATTAAGATTAAAAATATATTATCATACAATAACAATAAAAGTAACCGTAAAGAATCAAAAGGCAAATGGTAATGGCTTCAACATTATACAAGATGGAAGTATTCTTGGGTAGGTTCTGAACGTCTACAAGAAAAAGGAAAAGAAACGGACAGTAGCTCTGCTGCTCTTTTTCCTAAGAAACTAAAACACAACTTACCATACTACACATCCTTATGGTAAAAATTCACTATGGGTTTTTGGATTGATCAATTAGATGATTTTTGGACTATTTTCTAGTAGGAATTAATGATGAACTTACTAGTTATTACATATTGATTTATAGTTAATAAATGAAATCCTCATGAAGGAAAAAGCTAATTGCTAGTGCAAATAAAAACAACCTAGTTAGCCCCTCCTACGTATTTACCCCTTAATACACTTGAAATGGTATAAAAAAAATTCCAAAGAAACAAAGCATACTCCTTAAATTTACGGCAGACGTTAACAATATAACAGAACTTTCAGATAAAAATACTTGAACCAACCAAATTATCTACAATTATCTAAAGATAATTTGAAGTTAGTATGAAACTGTACCAACAAGGTTCCTTCAAGACTATGAACACATGGCGACACCCAGAGAGTTAGAAATAATTGCAGCAGTACTTTGTGCATCTGCACCAACAGAAGGCGAGAACAATCAGTATATCAGAAAAAAAACTATTTTCATTGACATAAAATCTTTATCTGGTTCACACAGCTCCCTTTGCATTGTTTTTATTTTATGCAGTGTTTCTTTCTTCATATTTTCTGCTTGCTCCAAGTAGCAAAATTACATTTAAAAAAAAAGAGGGTGTGGAGAGGATTATATTCTCATGACCAAAAGATGTGTCATCGTTAACTTCATCTAAATTGAAAAGTCAGAAGATATAAAAAGAAATATTATACGCAACTAACCTCTTGTATGACCAAAGCATCAGATGAAAACATTTGGGGGAAAAACCATGATATTGACACTCCAGCAGATCCCAGTATTAAACCATTTGATGCTCCAATGATCAAAAGGGACTTCAGCAGCATCCGGGCCTGATTCACAGTGTTCAACTTTTAGAATGTCCTATCAAAGAAAAATGCATGGAACACAACTCTAAAGTTGTTGATCGGGGGATAAAGTATGAACAGAAACAACAGTTTACATGGACATCACAGTCAAAGTTTCATGGATGTCAAGGCTTTCCTCAAGGAGGAGGTTTATACAAATATGTTAGTGTGTTTGGTATGAAGGAAATTGTTTCCTAGAAAATGATTTCTTGGAAAACAAATGGGTTTCTTACTTATTTTCTAGTGTTTGATAAGTAAGCAAGAAAATATTATACAAAGAGCATTTATATGTTATGTAGCAAATCACTATGGAGGCGAGATGGGATGGGGAGTGGGGATGGCATTGTCAAGTGATGGGGTTAGGGGATTGGGTGGGTGGGTGGAGAGGAGACAATAAACTTAGAAAGCCACTTATATAATTTGTTTTCCCTACTTCCATTTTTCCTTATTTTTAAGGAACTTTTTTCCAAAAAGAATATTTTCCAAACATTTTGACCAACCAAACATAGAAAAATAAATGTTATCTTCCATACCGAACACACGGATAATGGAAATTTTATGCTTTTCAAGCTTGGAAGTGGTAATAAGAAAAATACAGGATACTGTAAGTTTTACATAAATAAATTTATGACCTTCGACAAGTTCCGATTCACTCCATATAACAATTCAGGCATAAATGACTGCGCTGTTTGAGAGAGAGGCTCACCCCATACTGCAAATATGCTGAATAGTTGTAGCATGACCTAATAAGGTAAGTAATACGTCAGTGTTAGTATCCATCTAACCGTTACATTAGAAAGATGCAAAAAGAAAATACATGTACAACATTAGTCCACATAAACTAACCTGATGTGCAGCAGCAGTGTTTGTGCCCATTGATGTGGCATAGTAGACAAGTAGAGAGTAGAATGCCACCTGGAGTTCAAGATCTATCAGATACATAACATAGTAACTACTTTCATAAAGGCCGAAAATGCAGTTGAGTCAAACAAACCTTGGACATCATTGTTAAGAACACAGGTGCTGCAAGTGTGAATATCTGTAGAACTTCATCAAATGATGGAACAGATAAGGCAAAACCATTATACCCTTTCTTGCTCAGGGCTGCAATCATCATATAAGCTGCAACAACCTAAAACATTGCTTGTAAGCAAGGAATATTACCATGAAGAGTATGATAATGGGGAGAGGAAGGGAGACAAACAGAGAGTTGAAGAGATCAAATTCATTTAGAGGAAGGGAAGGCATATTTGGCGTACTTGGGACACCATTGTTGCCCATGCTGCTCCAGCTATACCATATCCAAAGAATCTGCATAAGACTATGTCGCCAATGCCATTAATAGCCGTGGCAACTGCCAAAGCCTTTAAAGGTCCCCATGAATCTTTCATGCCTAAACTGTATATCCATTAACAAGAACTATATTAATACAAAACCACCACCAGCAAATCATAAGCAGCTGACCAATGCACTTGACCCCGAAAAACACCAGCAGAAAGTCATACAGTTTTCAGATTTAAAGCTCAAAATATTGACAAGTATTGCACATTTTGAACATATAAATACTGGACGAAAAACATTAAGAAATTTCAGTATTGACAATTATCCGTAAGTGTAGTTTCTTTCTTTAAGAAGCTTCATCATCAAGACTTCATTAAAGTAAAAGAAAAAAATAGTATCAGGAATGATAGTCAATTGGAACAAATTTATATTAATCAAGGAATGTCAAGCAAAGACGATCATGCTCAAATGTCTCCCGACCAGTACTATTAAAAGTCAAAACTGCATCATTTGATGTGAAGCAAGGGGTTATCACTTCGCAGGTGCACCCATGTGCTTCAGAGAAAAGTGTAGCTCAAACAATGATACAAATGAGAAGTGCTTGGCACTTTGAATCTCAATTTTGAAGAGTTGGACTAATGTCAGAATCTTTGTATATTGGATGCTGAAACTAGTTTTAATATCAATTTACTATTATAGTATAAAATTCACATACTAGGTATTTTCTAATTTCTCGTAAGTTGAGCGCTTCACTTCTCGCATTTTGCTCCAAGCCTCATGGACCTTCCATCTCAATAGGGTAATAAGCTAAATGGACTTATAAAAATTGTTTCATCTTCATTATTAAAAAACTGTGCTTATCTTCATCATCTACTAAGAGTTCTGAAGGTGTGTTAATATTCACCAACATTCCTATTTTGTTTTGTTTCTAGCAATCTTTTTTTACCACTCCCTAGGAGCTCCCACCTTTTCTGCTGGCTTGGTGACTCGACCACACAACCTAGTGATTGGAGGTGGAGGGTGCTTACCATTTGAGCAACCCCTCATTCCGCTAAGGGTGCTACTCTTTCATATAAAGAAAAGAAAAGTGAACTAATCAGTTTAGCGGAGTCTGATCAGACATAGGGAGAGAACTTGCATCAATGAGAAAAGCACAACAGGTAGAGGAGGATGAAATATGGTGAGAAATAGAGTTGGGGGCTTGGAATTCTGTGGCCAGAACAACATGAAACAGGACATTGTGCAGACAAGAGAAAGAACATTGACAAATTGTAGCCATAGGAACTAAATGCATATGTTAGTGGTTCTTGTAAAGAATCGCGGCAACTATGAAGAAGAAACATAATAGATTGCTACCTATACAACTCTACAGATCACTCAGTTAACTAAATTGAAATACAAATTATCTAAAAGCACACTGATTACATAATGCTATACAAGTTAGAGTATCAGCAGGTAGATGGTACCTTGCACTTTGGGCAACCCAACCAACAAGCATGGCAGGCCATGCCAATCCTCGAATCTATCACGAAAAGATATTCTATTCAGATGAAGTTTTCTCAGGTAACCAAGCACAAGTGGATTTTACTTGATCATCCCAGAACAATATAGCATATGAATTCAGGAAGTATAACAAATGACTCAGTGTCCTGCAAGTTTGAACTAAAACCCCACTTTGAAGATCAGCGATAAGAAGTTCAGATATACAATTTGCTTACAACTTCCAAGTTCCTACGACTTTTTTCCTTGTCCATTACCAGAAATAACTTACTTGTTTCAGTTAGCTGGATATTCAAACATGAGTCATCTAAAAGCTATACGAAACAATGTAACATTCAAAACTAACATTATTTTAGAATCTATAGGCTCTAGATAAGTCAGGATACTTCTTGAAAGATAAACACAATACATATATCCATTTTCTATTGGAAATTTCTTACTATCCAGCAGAACATGCACTAATAATCAATAGCATAATAACCTGGACATAAGTATTTGCTGCATTTATTATTTCCATATTATTTGCCCCTGTGAAAGCTGAAAGAAAGACAAATTTACCATCAGTTGTTCATAAAATATACTGAAGGAAGAAGAGGGCATTTCTAATAGTATACATATTGAATGATTGATAAATCCACATTCAAAAAAAGAATGAGATGCTTACCAGTAATGCCCCAAGTACCAAACAATCTTGTACAGATAAGCATCACAATACCACAGGCCAACCCAATGAAGAGCAATATAGATATCTGATGTTGCACTTCATCTTTATCCTGCACCATAATCCTTGATGCTCACAATGCAAGAGTAAACAGAAAATAACGACAACTATATATTGATATATGGGTTCAGGATAACTGCCTAGCTCCTCATATTTGGGGAAAGCAGATATGGGTAAATGATAACAAGAATTTCAACCAAGCATACCTGTTTGGCCAATGCAGTAGCAACTAAATTTGAAGTGGCAATTGAAAGGAACATAAAAACATAACTAGTGTTATCACAAAACACTGTTCCTGGACCTGCCAATTACAAAAATCGAGCTAAATCACTGAACATTTAAACAACATTATACTCAACCCATCCCACTTTATATGGAAATGTATAAAAGCACAATTGTGACAAACATTTTGGACATCCAGAAATGGGAAGACTCTACCTAGAGCGGCAAGTTCAATAGAACTTCCTTGACCGATTACTGCAGTGTCAATGAGACTCATCAAAGGTCCACATAACCATAGACCAACTGCTGGCCCTGAAAACTTTACAATCTCCACCACTTGTGCCCAAATGCTCTCATTGCCGGAAAATTCTCCTTTAGCATTAGAATCTACCACTGGAATTTCTTCTCGAATTGCTACCGCTTCTACTTGTTCTTCATTATTGGTACATGAATTCAAATTCGAACGAGAGTTCTCTAGATTCACTGGAACCTCTTGGCTACGATTTACACAAGCAGTGATTATTCGCTTCCGGTGATTGTGGATTCGGGTCAATGATTTTACCCGACAAGTTCGGCGACGTGTGGAAGAAAAATCAACATGGAAATTCAAATTGAATTTAGGGATTTCTATCGGAATAATGTGAGATTTACAAGTTAGGGTTTCAAGATTCATTATTAGCGATGAAGATTTCGGTGCTTGATTGAACAGATAGACAAAAAAACAGAGGGAAAATTATGGCCGTAAATAGAAAGTTTTCTGAGCCACTTGAAAATTGGCGCCTCCTTCGAATATACTTTGCTTCAGCGTTTCCCTAACTGTCCTGCCAAACGGCCTAAGTCCACAAATATCCAATTTTGTGTGGTGCTTTTGAATATTTATAATTTTAACACTCATCGTTCAAACTCATTTCGTCTCTAATTACTTGTCTATTTTTAAATTGATACACTCATTAATTTAAATGCTTCAAAATAACTATTTTTAGGATTAAAAGATATCTTTTATCATACGATAACAATTAAGTAAATTATAAATGTAAACAATCACAAGGCGAATAGTAATGGCTTCAACAATATACAAACAGGAATTAATAATGTACTTACTAGTAAGTATTATATATTGATTTTGCAGATATCTAGTAAATGAAATCCCTCGTGAAGAAAAAAGTGAATTCTTTTGTACAAATGTATTCAACCTAGTTAGCCTCGTACTTACTCCTTAATAAACTTGAAATGCTATATATCTCTTCAATGAAACAGAAATACTTCTTAAATTTATGGCGGGCATAGACACAGTAAACAAAACTTTCCCATAAAAGTAACCGATATAGTCAACCAAATTATTTACCTGATTCTACCTATCTTCAATTTAATATCATACGAAAAGAAAATTTTATTTTTTTTTATAAAGTCATATCAAATTAACATAATAAATAGTAATAAATCTGCAGATTAACATGTAATATACCCATTGCTTTATAGGTTCACTCATATTGATATAAATAAAAAAAAGGAAAATTTTTCGTGAATATTTTAACATTTAAGAGGGTTAAGTAGCAACACTTTCTAGTAAAATGTTAAAATTTTAGTTTGGTATGTATCTTACTTATGTTTTATTATTTGTTTTTATTTAAAAAAATACAATTTTTATATAATAGATCGGAGGAAGTTAGGGGAGAGAATTTCTTCAAATCCTTAAAAGTCTCATCTACAATTTATCAAAATACATTCACTTCAATCTCTTTCTTCCTTTTCACCATGTTTTAAAAAAACACGTCTTTTATTATTGTTCTAAAAAAAATTCAATATCCAATTTAATATTTTTTGTTTCTAAACACTTTTATTCACCAAGATAAATATCCAATTTTCACTAACTACTGTTATGAAAATCACGGATTAAAGAAGTATCACATCTATAAAATTTTCGATATCCAATTTTCACCAATTATTGTTATAAAAATCACGAAATTAAAAAATTCAATATCCAATTTACACTAATTATTGTTATGAAACTTTATGATAATACTTAACAGTTTTATCTATTCAATTTTAATTTTTCTAATTTAGAAATTTGTACACCTATAGTTTTATCTATTATTTGACATACTTTTTTCACAGTGTATTTATTTTATGTTTCAGAATTTTGTTTCCTAGCTTAAATCGTATTCATTCCAATATGTATACCATTTGTATTTGTATTCGTTCTAGTTTCTATATTGTATTTTGTATAATGGTGTATAAACTATAAAAATAATATGACGGAAAAGTGAGAATGAAATATAAAATTGAAAAAGAATACGAGAATATTTGTTTCAATCATTCTTAAATAAAATACATAACTAGCTGGCTTACCTTTGAGATTAATATAACTAGGAACAAATACGATTAATAAATTATGCAACATGAGATTTTAAATGAATACAAATGTTAATAACATAGATAGTGGTTTGAATACGAATTGAGAAAGGATTCATTTGAAGAAAAAACTATAAAAACAAAATAAACTACTAGAAAGTTGTTCTTCCTATAAATAAAATACATAGCTAGCTGACATACCTTTAGGATGCATACAGATTTAGGACAAATACAAGATTTATAAACTATGCAACATGAGATTTTTAATAAATACAATATTGATAGCATACATAATGATTTGAATACAAATTGAGAAGGAATACCAAATTCTAAAAAGAACTATAAATGCAAAACAAACTAATAGAAATTTTTTCTTCCTCAACTTGGTCTTCAACAAGTTTTCGAATTCTTTTACACCCATTTTTTTTTTTTTACTTTTATTAATAGTGATACAAAAAGATGCAAACACCAACTCTTTGATCATCTCTCTTCTGTTATTTTAGCAGTGGATCCTACATTTTCTTGAGTAACGTATATATTAAAAGATGAAAAATTGCTAGAAAATTATTGATTAAGTTGCATACCTCTTGTAATCCTCTTAGATTCGACCATTAGAGAGTGATTTTATGGTTTTCAAACCCTAAACAAAAGTAAGTCGATTTAATACTCAACTACAAATAAAAAATTTGAAAAATTTAAACAAAAAAAAAATAGTAAACAAACCTAAAAATCGAATGAAGATGCATATCTTAATTACAAGGATTGTTGTGAATATCTTTAGCGATATACTTTCCAATTTCTGAAGAAAAAGAACGGAAAAGAGAAGTGAGAGTTGAAAGATGAAAGAAGAATTGGAAGAGGGAAATTAGTGCGAGAGAAATATATTTTTTTTAAAAAAGAACATATGATAGAAAATGAGTTGGAAAAGATATAATTAAGGTGAGATAAAATAGAGTCTAAATTAAGATACACAATATTTTCTAAAATGTTAATATTTTGATATTTTTACTAACATTTATAAAATATGAATATTTTTAATAATTATATTAAATTTTTTGACTAGTTTGCAAATTTATGCCGAATTAGGGAAACACACACAACTTTGCACTTGCCCCTACAAAATAGTGTTAGGCGCATAGCATGGGCTGGTCCAACCCAAAATAATTTTTTTTGGGCCAATTATTCATACGTAGTTTGTACGGGAGTCCCAGTACAATACATTTAGAGCTACTTGAATATTGGCTATAATTTTTTTTTGGAAAGATTATTTAATTACACAAATATTTTTTATTATGTTTATTAATTTTTTCTATGGTTGAAAAAAATTACATATTATCTTGTTAAATTGATATTTCAAATCAGATATATCTAGATATATGTATTTTTGCTATTAGATTATACTCTGGAATACATATTAAGAAAGAGGAGAGTAAGAAAGGAGGGAAATGATGATAGATTGAGGGAGGCAAGCTAGAGAGTGAGTATTCTAGATACATGCAAATTACACTAGATATGTATATCTGGAATATCATATACATTTTGAAATGCAAATACAAAAAGAGAGAGAAGCTAGCAAAATAAAAGAGAAGTAAATGAGAGAGTCAAATACATGTAAGTCTACTTAGATACAAATGTATATAGAACAAATTACATATAATTTTGGCACTATGTATCATCGATGCATGTCTCTTGTGCATTCAGATACATGAACTTGTACTTTGCAAGCCGAATTATGGTAAAAGTAATAATTGTTGAAAATTTACATGACATAAACCAATTTACTCTTGACTAGGTAAAAAGTGACTCAAAACAAATTTAAATGAGTCAAAATCAAAAATAGGTTTCCCCTACTTTTTACTTTTTAATTTAAAATTCATTTAGTTTAACCTCTTATTTTTTTTATTTTAAAAAAAGTCAATTCGAATGATTCAAAATCTTGAAACACGGGGCCTCAATCAGTAAAATTTGAAAAGGGTTAGTGTCCTAATGTAGGATTATTCAATATCTAGACGTATGAAAGATAGTTGATTCCTTCAAAAACCTAGTCAAATTATGTTAAACATTGCATGATACCACTCTAAAACCTAGTCAAGTTGCGTTAAATATTGCATGATAACCAGAATATCACATTAATAATAATAATGATAATAAATACTTCACCTTAAGACTCTTTTCATTTTAAAAACATTGTCCAAATGCCATGCTTGATGGCTTATCTACTTAAACAAAGAACCCTTAAAAAGTCTTTATCATCAATGTCTTTATTGATTGTACTAATACTAAAACTAACATTATTGAACAATAACGCCAAGATTTTTTTTATAGATTGAGGGATCAAATATTAAAAAAGTAATTTTAAAAGATACGATAAAAATTCACACGTGGGACCAAATGAGTTTTAACTCCCCTAGTTCAGGACAAATTACAAATCAAGTTACCATTTATTTATTTTAATGGCCTTGTGGGTGGCTACTATTTAATTATGAGCTACGTGACTTATAGTTTGAACATATTTTGAATTCAGGTTAGATTTAAAATTTTGTTTGTATATTTTAATTTGAATATGTTAAATCTATATTTTCTTTTAAGTATACAAATTTCCAAAAAATAACAAAAGTTACTTTTTTTTTAAATTGTCAAAATTGAAATTATGATTGGTTCATAAATTTTAAAAGAATAATTGGATTTTACATGTATTTTTTAAAATATGGTTTATATCTTCTAATTTATAAAAACTAACAAAATTATCTAACTTAACCAATTTTCCTCAAATATGGTAAAAGAAATACGAAAAAAGTTTTGAGTGATAATTATATCTTTATACATGCAAATGCATGCATAAAAATTTAAAAGTTCATGGCTTTACTAATATCATAATTTTTTTTTATTTTTTACATATTAATTAAATTATATACGAATTAAAAAATTTATCAAATAAAATATTACTCTCTCCGTTTCAAAAAGAATGACCTCCTTTTTTTTTAGTCCGTTTAAAAAAGAATAATCTCTTTTCTTTTTTTTAATAACATTTTATTTTAGTTTTTCATATGGCATGTTTACGGTCACAAGATCAAAGAACAATTTTATATATTTGGCCTAACTTTAATTTAGGATCATAAAATTCAAAAATCTTTTTTATATTTTTAAACTTCATATCAAGTCAAATTAAATCATTCTTTGTGAAACGGAAAGAATAATAATATATGGAGTTAAAAGTACACTACATTTTCTAATGTATCTGTCCACCAAACGGCCCCTTAACAATTGGCCTAAGTTATTTGCCCGTGTGTTAATAGTCGTTCCACGTGCAGTGGGTCATGGGCCACAAGAAGTGGTTTTGATAGCATTTTAAAAAAAAATAATTTTATGATTATTAAAAAACTTGACTTGACTAATTTAAAATTTTAACGTTTGATAACATCCATAAACTGTTCTTTATCAAAGATTTATATATTTAAATAATCAAAAATTTTATTTTTTAAAATTAAAAATAAACATACATGTT